AACAACAAATTAGTTAGCTATATCAATTTTTATAGAAACATTCCTGTTGTAGAATCTCCAAGGACATATATAAATTTAAAGATAAAATATCACAATCTTACCAATTCATATCATTTATGCAGGCCTACTTCATTGTACATCAAACCTTCGAGATTCCATGGATCTCTGGCAGCCCCCAGAACCCCCGCCTCATAGAGGCTGTGAAAATGAGTTCTTCTTGATAACTTTACACAACTCAAGCCCTGGCCACAAACGATCAATAATACATCATGAAGCCTTGAAAGCTATGGAGTTTTCATAGTCCAACATTTGGGCCAGCCCTTCACTACTGTGATGTTAGCAGGATCAGAAGGCACTCCATTCTTACCTGTTGTAAGAATAAGACACTCCACTTCTGCAATTTTCATGAAAGCACACTTTCCTAGTTTCAATTTCAAGCCTGCATCCTTTACTCACTGGAATATCATTCTCAGATTTCCAGCTGTGACCTGAAATATGCAGCCAAACTACTATGTCATCCACGTAGATGAGTCAAATCTCCTGTTGCATTCCCCTAGGATTAAGCTTCAGCAATTTCTCAAAATCAACAGGCATGTTAAACAAACTAAATAGCATGTAATGGAATTCATAAAGTCCTTCCCTTTTTATCAAAAATAAACATTACTGGGTGACACTGATTATAAATTTGAAAAATATTAAACTTAGCATTCTCAGGTTTTATTAAACACTATCCTTGTACACTTTTAAATTTTTTCTCAGATATAATTCAGTGTTATTTAAAGTCTAACTTCAGTTTTACTCATAATGCTTGTACATCTTGTATTAAAAACTTGAAAATACATGTTATATTTCTTTTAAACTTCAATTGTAATTTTCTTCTTAACAGAAACTTTCAACTCTCAATCACTGTATTTGAATTCAAAGCCTGAGAGACTAATTTTATACTAGTGAAAAATATCAGTATAAAATGACTTGCTGAAAACTGCAGATTCAAACAGTTTTAGCTCTCACCAGCTCATTGATACAGACTGGAATGAAAAAAAAAAAAGAATTATGATGCACTTATATTTCAAAACTGCATCAAGCTAATTACTTTTATAGGGGTGTGATTAAGAATGTGATACCCAAAAAAAACTGTTATTGCTGCATGTGGAGGTCATATTCAATTGAAACAAAGTTATGAAATTTACATGAGCTGCTACTTTTTTGGTAAAATAAATTATATATATATATATATATATGTATATTATGGTATCTGATAATTGGAAATAGTTGATAAATGATGCATTAAGGTGCAGGATAACACAGAATACATCACTGCCATTTTACAACACATTCTGTGACTCAATGTATCATTCAGCATGATGAGTTAAATATTTTGGGTCATTTTATAACTGTTTTATAAAGAAACTGGGGAAACTGTTGCACAAGTATTAACAGCTTTAATATAATTTTATAACACAGCAGTGTTAATTAATTAAATTAATTAAAAGAAGTAAGGTTTGTAAATTAAAAGCTGATTATTATAACAAAATCAAATATTTTACCTCTAATAATAACAGTCCAACTAATTCAGATGCTATATGTTGCTGAAGCTCAGTTTTCTGCACTATATTCAGGACAAACTTATAGGTCTCAAATCTCTTCTTATAACTTCCATCATCACTTGAAGCAAATCCTAATAACAAATAATTTTCCTTCAACATTCCATTTATTCTATTAGGTTACTGTTTTGAAGTTTATGTTATTTTATACACCATATATAAACAGTAGCAGACATTAAGGTTAATATTATCAATTACCTTGGTACCCCTTCACCAAAAATCACCAGGGCCTGCTATAAATTCTAAAAGGCTCACACATTTATATTAAAATTTCTATTCAATTGTATTTAAGTACAAAAATAATAGTACAGTGGTATAAAATACCACATATTTTTAATTATAAAAAAATTAATAACTATTGATAGGTCTCACAAAGCATAAATGAATTTAACATTTGTATCAGTACTGGCCATATTTTGGCTGTAGTACTTAAACCCTAGGGAATGGATTATTAACTTTAAAAGATATCAGACTGTATATAGAGCTTAATAAATTTTTAATGCCATTTTCTTTTCCAATTGTATAACATTAAAGCATTATTTTTTCACAGAACTGGAGAAGCAAATGTATAAAATGTTAGGCCTAAACAACACAGAAATGTTAAATGAAGACTGAGCAGAATAGACTGTCGCTTTTTTTCATTTAGACAGAAAGACAGACCGCAAGATCCTTATCAGCTTACTTCAACACTGAGAGCCTTTAGATCCAAATCTAAATATCTTTTTTACAGAACAGATACAAAACATAATGTATTGAATTGATAACATAATTTTACAACTACAAGTCCTTTCTTCTTTGAAATCTTTATTAGAATATAATAATATAGTCCAAGCTAAATATATTTTTGTCTGAATAGCATAGCATGCAAATCAGTCCATCTTGGAAGACTGGCATATAACAAACTTTGCTCTAAAACTTGACATAAAATACCAAAATCATTTTAATCTATCATAATATGCTTAACTTTTAAAAATTTTCGATCTTGATATAATGTAATGTCAATTTTACATAAATAATTAAATGCAATCTAAGATAAACCTGGATCTAAAGAATGATAATAAGGCTGGCTTGGCAGAAAAATTGTTAACAGTGAATGTACCCAACTGATGAAACAATGCACTTTAATCATTATGAATAACATAATTTGAACATTAATTAGCTATGCTCATTAATAAATATATATATCTTTAGTTCTGATCTATGTAGGTAGCTTGCTTATAGTGTGTAGATATTATGTAAACTTGCCAAAGGATCCATGGCACAAATCTTGCAGTGTTACAATTTTTTTCATATTTGTTTTTAATACAAGCTGTACATATATAAAATTACAATGAATTTAGAACAAGTACTTAGATATAAAATATGAAAAGCCTTTCCTTTTTCAGTTGCTCAAATAATAAATATTGTACAAATTCTTTAAAAATAAGACATCCTTCCACTTACTAACCTTGAAATAAAGCTCTTACTACTGTAACTGCAGCAGATCGTCCTTTGTAGAGTTCTTCTCTTAAAAGTTTGAAAATCTGCATCATAACATCTGTCATTATAATATGGTGATATTATCCTAGCTACATAATGCTTCTCAAGCAAATATTACATATATAAAACACCAATTAGCTTCATATTTTTCTACTCAAGCAACAAATACAATAATTTGGTACAGTCAATTATATTTGTAATTAAGACAATAGTATTAGGCTTGCTGTACGTTTAACACTATATTCTCTATTCAGTCCCTTAGAATTTTTCAGAAAAGAAAAGTATATAATAGTATTTCAACCTCACCATGAATGCCATATACATTGCTGACAATGCATTTCACTCAATACTAGAGAACATCAGGTTGGCTGGAATACAATAAACACATTAATGGTTGGAACTCTATTTATATAAGTCACTTGTTAGAATAACAACTGATCTGGTGTGAACACCTTTTTGCTGGAGAAGCACGATTATAGTCAATTATGTTTGTCATAAGACAATAGTTTTAGACTTATTGGATTTTTTAAACACTACATTCTTCACCATAATCACTCTTCCCCAGCAAAAATACATTCACAACAGAATAATAATTTGGTATGCCCAAGTCAACCACTAACACAATCCAGTCCTTCACTGAACATCAACATAAACATTTAGTTGACATGCTCAAGCCAAATCCATGCAGCATTTCCTTTCTGAGCAATAAAAGGTTCACAGTAATTTGGTGTTAGATATATACAACTGTTTCAATTTAAGTTTAATGTGAGTGTTAAATTTAGTTATTTTTTAGGAGCAATATTTTATTACAAGTTTGTTTATGTAACTGTTTACGAATCATACATTGTGTAGTTCAATAGTTATGAATTGGTGATTGTTATATTATTGCATCATGAGTTTTTCTTGTTTTACTTTAGTATTATTGCATCATAATATCTAGTAGTGTGTGGAACATTTTAGAACTCTGCAGGGTATAAATATGCATCAAAAAGATAGATAGATAGATAGTTAGTTATAGACTGTGTGATCATGAGTTTAGCCATAAAAAACAAATAGTGGTGATTGCTAAAGTGAAATTGTCACAGACTGTATTGTAGTAACAAAATAGAGAAGAAATAATTTGTCTTGTCAGTTGTGTTCTAAAGAAACTGAACTAGACTCTGTGGACTTTGACAAAAAAGATACAATTTTTTAAGACTCTGAATACAACTGTGATAACCAATAGTGTAATGAACATTTGTATACACCTTTAACTTGTTTTAGTATATTATCTTAAATCAAGTGATTATGTACTGTTTGTTTATTGTCAAAAAGTCACAGACACCTACTGTAAAGAATCCTGCTCATACATAAAACCTGACATTTGGTTTCTCCAAGCTATCAAAAAATTTCAGTCCCTCTTATATCAGCAACATAAACAACATCTGCCATGTTAGCAACATCATTCTCCACTTCTGCCACGAACAGCAACACCATCAGATGGTTAACTTAAAGAACAGAAGAGTCAGTGACAAAATTAATAAGTCAACATGAAGAGAATAAATCATTTCTGATCAGCACTTTTAACTGGCCTTTCAGAGAATGAGCTATCAAGCTTCTAGTTGCAGGTGGACCAGTAAGAATAGTATGCTAAGTCTACTTTATGATTATCTGGTGTACTTTCCCATGAGACAAATGTCTGAAAAAATGTAGAATGTGTACCATGTTATATTAAAGTTTAAGTTATTTAGCCTTTTGAGACCTTCATATGTCAAAAGAGAATGAATACCAAACCAATAGCCTATCTATATACAGAATAATAAATGGTAATTTTTTTAATTAGGAGGATGTGACCAGTGAGGTCCTTCATGAGTCTATCTTAGGTTCTCTTTTGTATATTATTTACATTAATGACTTTGATAGCTTCTTGGCCAGTAACATCTTTATATTAATTTAAGTTCATAAACAAAATTTTAGATGGCAAAAAGTAATGTAGCCCTTTAAGGTCACATCTTATCAAAAAAATAATTAAAAAGAAAAAATATTATATTTCTAGTTACTTTTTTAAAGTAAACTCAACATATTGAATTGAGCTGCCTTTAATTACCTATTACCTGTCAAACAAAACTTCAAAAGAAACTAAACTAACCACACCTCAGACAAACGTTCTATAATTTTGTAACTCTTTAACAACAACAAAAATGTTTATTTAAAAACAAGTCTGCATTTAAGCTTATCTAAAAAGCCCTTATCAATCTCAGTAGTGAGCCAGAACATTGAAGTTCTAATACTGAAAATTACACAGATGAAGTGTTGAAATTTGGAAAGGACTTGCTTACTGTTGAGAAGAACATTAATATTGTATAAAATGGTGAGAATTTAAATACTTAACTCTTTTCTGAATATTTAGTTGTAATGAAAAACCAATTAGTTCTTGGTTCTACTTACAGGAAGTTTGAACTTAATATTATGATTATTGTAAGCCTTATAAAAAAAACTCTGGTGAGACCTCACTCTATGCAGTTTTGATTCACTTGATATATAAAAAGGTCATAAAAAGGTCCTTCCTGCTTTATCTGTGAAGAGAAGTTTGTTACAATATTGGACTTCTTTCCTTTAGACTGCAAAATATTTAGGGCAAACTTCATTTAGTTGTTTAAAATCATTAGAACCTTGGATAATCTGTGTTGTTTTTGCCCGAGTGTAGGATGAAAAAGCTGAAAATATAAACTTTCACAATAGGGACAATAAATTTTAAGTTCTGAAAGTCAAGATGCAGATTTTTTCTTTGAAAATTGAATTTTGTTAGGGTTATAAATTTGTGGGACGATTTGCATAAGAGTGTAGTATTTGCTGTTAGTTTGACTTTTGTTTGCCAAGATATATGGTTGTCAATGAGTCTTTCAATTATATTAAAATAAATATAAATCTTTCTTTTTTTTTTCACATAGAGGTGAATTCATTGAGCTGATTAACCATCTGTAACCTTATATTTTCTTATACTTATTTAATTTATAAAATGTTAAGATAAAAATTAACACATCACTGGAAGAGGAGGTAACAAATTATGCAAAAAATGTTGTTATAGTTCATTTTAAAGTGAAATGAAGGTATTCTTATGTTTATTTCTAGCAGTGATATAAAAAATATTATATTATATAAAATACTGACTGAAGTTTACTAGCAATCTATTTCTTAACTTTTAAGCAAATTGTCACAGAACTGTACAGAAAATAACACTTAAAATGACATGTACTGTGGCAACATACATCACTACAGTGCATGACATTTAACAAATGTCATGAAACTAATACCAGTATATTGAAACTAAATATAAACAGATGCTGGTGAATTCTTATACAAATAACATTTAAAAGTAATATCAATCCCTATCAAACTATACATGAGCTACATTTTTTCAGCCCTTTTCAACTACACATAACAGAAAATGGATATATTGGATTCCATGTCATAGAGTTTAGTTAATTTCCCATGTAACAGTATCTTGAAAAATTATTATTCACTCAACAATCATTTATTTTTGTTCACCTGTGTTAACTCTACATTCTGGGCATGTCCAACTAGCCCTTGTAAATCTCTTTGTTCAGCAAGTTGGAGTAACTGCTTTTCCATTTTTATTTCACCTGAAAATAAGAACAAATATGAATATATCTGTGGACATAATTAGTAAGCAAAACAGCAAAATAAAAATCAATTAGTTGAATAAAAATCTATCTTATGAAAAAAACCTAACACAAGTACAGTCCCAGGTGTCATCAATCAATAGTAAAATGTGTCACAAGGGTCTTCCGACCTATAGGAATGAAAGAGTGAACATAAGAAATGAAAAATTAAAACAATATATGAAGCATCTTTTATCATGTAATCAATTCTTTATTATAACTGAGTGTGTTGTCACTTATCTGGGTAATGGAAAGGTGTGGACAAGGTGTACTTAAGTGTTCAAAAAGCATCTAATAAACATCAAGCATTATGTGAACAACATAGTAACCCACAAAGCCAGATGGGAAGATCACCTGAAGACATTCAGAGAGCTGTTCAGACAAGTGAGGGCAGCAGGTCTGACCATCAGACCATCCAAGTGCTACATCGTTTATCTTATGCTGGACTCTGTTGGACACAAGGTGAGCAATCAACAGATAGTCATGAAAAAGGAGAAGCTGACCCACATACAAGATGCACCAGCTCCAAGAACCAGGCAACAGGTTAGATCCTTCTTGTGGTTAGTGGGATACAACAGGAAGTCACTGCACCACAGCAAATGAAATTCCAGAAGATGGAGAACATGTCAGGAAGTCTACCAATCCTTAAAATGCCAAACTTCAATAAACCATTCATTGTTCAGGCCAATGCATCAGATATAGGAACTGGAGCAGTATTCTGCAAGAACATGAAGTGGACTGTTTCCTGTAATGTACATCAGTAAAAAGCTGTTGAAAAGTGAGAACTACTACTCTGTGATTGAATGAGAGTATCTGGAAATTACAGAACTATCTCTACAGAAAGGAGTTCATCATCCAGATGGACCATCAGCTCCTTGCATACATCCAGGTGCAAAATTGACAGTGCAAGGATCATGAGGTGGGAATTGTATCTCCAGAACCACTAGTTCTGCAGTGAAAACATCAAGGAGCCTGCAAATGCTGTTGCAGACTCTATGAATAGACTTTGCGCATGAACTGAAAACAGTCTTTGTATATAGTATTAAAAAATATTATAAATATTTTTCTTGAAGAGGAGCATATTGTTAGACATCCACAACTGTTTAAATTAAGGCAATGTTATGATTTAAATGGTTAACTCACGTGACCATGGTTAGCTCTCAAATTGACCGACCATGTGACCACTTTCTACTCATTTAAAGTCATTATATTTTTGATACTACTAGCTTTTATTATAGAACGTATAGCTTTACAAAAGTTGGCAGAATTTCAGTAAACATTATAAATCTTTCACATACAAAAATCAAATTTTTAGTGAAGTCTTTTTAATAAACTAAAAAAAGATTTTTCCATGAATAAAGATATATTTTTTTTACTAGTCTGAGTGCAAAGTGATTTTCATGTTAAGATTTAAAATACTTTTCTTCATCTCCAAAATCTCAAATTTCATTTACATAATCTTTATAACTTGCTAGATACATTTCATACATTAGTTTTCAGTAAAACTTTATATTTTATCTGTTATTTTCTCTACCCTAACTATACAAGGTTGGTCAATTTGACCAACCAAATAACCAAAAAAATGAAATAAATCTAAATTGCCTTTTTTTTCTTTCAAGAATGATATCAAATTGTAACATGAAACTACCTTCATTTATCCTAAGTAGCTTTAAACTCATAACAGTATACAATTATTTACACTTAAATTTTATTGTTTTAATACCCTTTGAACTGTGTCTAACTACTATTCACACCATTAGAAGTTGTAGATCACTTGGGGAACATGGAGCTCATGTTAAGCTAATGAATTACATTACCTACGAGCTACTACGAGTTGCTCGCATGCATGCCTCATAAAACATTTTTATTATATTATTATTTATTTTACCTAATCTAACTTTAACTAACCTAAAGAGATTCCAATTTTTCATTTTAGTTACTTTTATAATAATAAATAAAGAATCCACATGAAAAGCAAAATAATAAAGTACTTACCTGGATTTTTTTGTTGTTGTCGACCATCGATGGCACTTAACCCTACTTTTTATATACTGATGGTAGTAATGCACTAAATAATTTTTATTCAATTAAATAATGCACCAAAGAACATAAAATAATAACATGCAAAAAGAAAACAATGTCCCTTAACTTTAACAATTTTTCTGGATTTCTAACTATGTGACAAGACCCATTACAAATTCATCCAAGCTAGTCAATAAGGGTTTCCTATGTGAACAAAGCTTGTACTAAAATAGGAACTGACAATTCTCTGTTCAGAAAACAATGTAATATAATACATCATTTGATAGATGAAAACCTTGGCTCTCTATTGTTATAAATAATATATTATTAAACATAAGAGAGAACTATTAACAAATCCTAAAAGAGAGTATGTGACAGGTGGGTGTAGCAAGAGGGGTCTGACTTTCTATTTGATGGTTCTGTAACCAAACAAGATTGAAGGCTATAAAATTATGGTTTACCTGAGCAATGACAATTTTATAGTGAGTAATTTACATTAAATTTCATACATAATGAAGATGGAGGAATGATGAATAAATTACAGTGGAGGGGATGCCTAAAGAAAATATGTCACATTTCTTACACCAGGAGAAATTCAGGATTTTTTTAAATTGCCTTATATAATTAATAACTCAAAACTTGTATACTATTAAAATATGCATTATTAGCTACAATTTTCTGCTATACTAATTGATATACCATAAACAAAAAAACAGTTCAATTAAATTTTGAATGTAAATCACTATAAACCTCGTGACATGCACAGTAAAGGATGCCCGTGCAGAGAGGGTTAAAGTATAGCTCGAGTGTTAAATTTAGTTATTTTTAGAAGCAATAAATTATCACAGGTTTGTTTACATAACTGTGTCCAAATCATACATTGTGAAATTCAACTGTTAATGAATTGATGTTTGTTATATTATTACATCATGTTACTAGAAAATTCTTAAGTTTTTCTTGTTCTTTCAATTGAATATTATTGCATCATAATATGATGTAGTGTGGAGCATTCTAGGCCTTTGTCAGTCTATAAATAGGAGTCCAAAATGTAGTTCGAGTTAGTTAGACAAAGTTAGTTAGATAGATAGCAAGATCAAGACTGCATGATTGTGAGTTTAGCCATGAGAGTGTATAGTGTCAATTTCTGAAGTGAATTATCACAAACTGTATTGTAATACAGAAAAGAAATAATTTGTTTGGTTAATTGTATTCTGAAGTAACTGAACCAACACGTGTGGACTTTGATGAAAAAGAGACAATTGTTTAAAGCTCTGGATACAACTGTGGTAATTAACTGTGTGACAAACATTTGTACATACATTTGACTTGTTTTAATATACATTCTTTTAAAACAACTGTACTGTGTGCTGTTTGTTTATTCTTGAATTTTATCACCAACAAGTCACATACACCTACTGTAGATTCCAGCCCATCCTTACATAAAAACCTGACAAGTGAATTGTTATAAAAGGAGTTCACTCAAACTGAATTACTGACATAAGTGAAGTACCTCAAAGCTCATTGTTATGACCTTTGCTCTTTTTGATTTACATCAATAAGACAGATGAAGGACTGATCAATAAGTTACTTAAATTTGATGATATTAAGGTCTAGGGTGTTGATGGCTATGAGGAGGATGCTGCTGCTTTACAAAAGAATTCTGATTCTTTGGCGAGTTGGGATAATAAATGGCAGATAGCTTTTACTACCTAAGCAATGTGTTGGTGCTATGGTACAAATAAGATTTTAGGTTTTGTCAGGGTTTTAAATATGAGTGGGCTTTGGATTCTTCTACAGTAGGTGTCTGTGACTTGTTGGCGATAAATTTGGACAAGAAACAGACAGCACACAATCCACTTGCTTTAAAATAATATATTCAAAACAACTCAAACGTATGTATAAAAAATTCTTTACACTACAAAAAATCACAGTTTTATCTAAAACTCAAAATAATTCTCTTTTCTTGTCAAGAGTCCACACAGGGTGATTCAATTACTTTAGAATATTGCCCTGTATTAGTAATCACTCACACGTTGGCTAACTTCACATTTTCTAACTTTTTTGACTAAAGTTTTACTTTATTTCACTTGCTCTCTCTCAGTCACACACACATATATACCTTGCCCAACTGAGGCCTGGAATTTTCTACAACCTAGGAGATGCTATGATTTAACAATGCTCACTTGGCAAGAAAAATACCAAAGGTTCAAGTAATGTGATCCCAACAATATTACTAAAGCCTAGTACAACAATCAACTGCATACACAATGTATGACTCATACAAGTTATGTAACGAAATTTGTCACAAGTAACACTTCTAAAACAATCAACCTTCAACACTCCTGTCATGAAAACTAAACAATCATTAATATTAAATCACCAAATAAACTAAATAATAGCTCTTAAACTAAACAGTCTTATATATCCAACAGGTTTCATCTACAGAAATATTTGATAATGTCTAAAGAGGTTACAATTTCATTGTATTGGTCTCTGGTTAGGTCAAATTTGGTGTATTATGTTCAGTCTTGAACACCTTACCTTAGAAAGGACATTGAATTGTTGGAAAGGATTTTGAAAAGGGCTACTAAGATGATACTTGAAATGAAAAGGTTGTCATACGAGGACAGTTTAAGATCTCCAAATTATTTTTTCTATTGAGAAAAATAAAAGTTAGAGGGGATCTAACTGAGGAGTTTAAAATTGTTTAAGAAAATGATAGTGTTGATGCTTCATCTTTTTCATACTTTTTAGTGAGAATGGTGGGACTACAGAACACAAATTTTTACAGGGTAAGAATCGTCTTCAACTAAGACAGCTTTATGTTTCTAACAAGGTGGTTGGCTTTTGGAATGAGATGCCTTCAGATTTGATGGATGCCATTTATTTAATGGAAAGTTTGATAAATATTTTAATGATAAGGGCTGGCTATGAGTTGTTTTTATGTTTAAATTAGTGAATGAGATGACCTAGATGAACCAACAGGTTCCTTGTTGTCCTTAACTTTTATGTTTAATGTCATGTTAAATAGCTTGATTCTAGTTCTATATATATATATACAATTATTATTTGTTAGCTCTGGAAATCGAAATTAAAAATAGTCAACATCAATATGGTTGGAGGTATTTCATGCATAATTAGGGTAGAATAATTCAACAGTGCAACAGTTACCAGGAGTGGGCAATGTTCAAATATTATGAGTTTGATTGTGACTTCCAGGAAGCCCAGAAAGACAACACATTTTCACTTGCAGAGTTTGTTTACTTGAGGATAAGTTGGAGACAGATTTGGGAAAGTTGTGCTATAAGTGTAGTGGGAGGAAAACAGCAGACTGGAAGTAGGAGAAGAACTAAATAAAGTGAAAGTAAACATTACTTTGTTCATAGAGAGGATGAAAATGCAAGTGCTGGGTTTACAAAAGTGCGCAATAATAAAATAGTTAAGGCTAAAGAAACATGTTCAGTTAGCATTCAGATATCATTCTCTAATGCATTTAATCATTGGCTATTAAGGAATAAGACAACAAAAGGTTTATTCAGTGGGGAACTTTCTCATCAAGTATACAAATAGTCATTTGTAGTAGAAAGCATAGATAGACTAGAAGTAGAATTTGCTTATGAGGTACTAAGGTACAGAACATAACAGACTGTGCAGACAGCTTAGTTTCTGATATCAAGGAACATTATCATTTCTGTAGTGCATACAGGAACAAATAATATTGGAAATTATAAATCACAAGACCTGTTCAATAAGTATAAAGAACTCCATCAGAGCTTTAGGGATAGAAATAGACAATTAGCCCTTTTGGCAGTGTTCCCTCAAGCTAAATGTGGCAATGGATTACTAGGCAGAATCGAGGCTTAAAATAGAGATAATAACAAACATTCTTAGAGCAATATGTTGACTAATTGGATCTTTGACATAATTTTCCAGATAATGGTGAATTATTTGCTAGAGATGGGCTTTCTTTTTCTTATATATATATATAATTTTTTTAACCCTCAAGTCATTAATTGATCATACAGAAAATGTCGTATTTGGTAGCAATGTTAAGCAAAATGAAATCTGCTATATTAATTCAGTACTACCAACACTCACTTATTGATTGCAAGACTCGAGCATCTTGGCCTATTCTTATGCTCACACACATTAGTGAAAAAAAAAATCTTCTTTTGATCAAATTAGCAGCTTTCTGTACTGCATTATAGTTGGATTATCCACTGGATATTGAGGTCAAGTTCAGCATCACACTAATCTGGAAAATGCACCAGATTGTACCACTTTGCTTCATTGATTAAAAGCAAGCTTTTCTGGGGAGCATGCCCTCCTAGAAAGCAACTGTCTTAGATGCTCCCAGCACCTTACTGCTTGCTAAAAGTTTACATTTTCAAGTCTCACTCAAACAAACTCCTAAAATCTTTGATAGGTTGTTTAGGCAGAGTATTCATAATGAATCTAAGTTTCAAATGGACAGCAACTGCCTG